AAAAGCATAGTCTAGTAACTTAGGGTTTTAGACATGAATATGCTTTTGCTGTTAGAACTATAGGAAGTCGACAAAGTCTTCATGAGCTATTATATTCATCAACTAAGATTAGGAATCTTAAGGTAAGTCCTCTAACCTGTAATTGCTAATCCCGTGTGAATGAGGAAGTCGTGTATGAAACTATACGGGCTGACAACCCCACTCGTGGTTGCTAGCTACATCCCAACTTTTGGCGAGTGACAAACTGTCCTTTTATTTGTTTTATTGATTTGGTGTCGATGAAGTGCACGATGCTGCTATATTGGTGGAATCCTTTGTGGTACCCCAGACATAATCTTTTATGGCATCAATGATGGAAATCCTTTGTCGAACCATTGGTGGGATTTTTTTCAGAGGTCTTGTATGTCATAGCAGTGGTTACGGATTCATAATTGCAAATTGTTAGAAACATTATATTTTGTCAATATACAAGTAATAATGTTAAGTATAAGTTTCCCAAGCACTTGTATTCTATATACAAGGAACATATATGTATTTCACTTATTCATTAAGTAAACAATTATACCTAGCACTTAAACCCGTATAGAATTGAAATAGGATTTATACGTAGTAACCTTCGTTGATTTATGTAAAAACATGTTAATAAGTTAAGATGCTGGTATAGAAGGTGATTTGTTGAAAAAATTATAATCAAAACACATTTTTTTCTACTCATGTGCATATGGTGCACATTTTACATTATATGCAAAATAATAATAATAATAATAATAATAATAGTAATAATAATAATAATAATAATAATAATAATAATAATAAATAAATAAATAAATAAATAATCAAATAAATGTATGTGTAGAAGTTAATAATGATGAATTTACATACTTTTAGCAATTTTTAGCCGATTTCTGATGTACCTGACGGCTCCTGTGAAGTTCTGGTTATCTTCTCTAATGTTCAGGATTTTTCCGGGGAAACCAACAACTTTATTTTACTCTCTCCTTTTGTCTCTTTCTTCTCTTTTTTTCTCATGAACTCTAAACTATACTTCAAATTTGTGATGAACACACAAATACATACACATCAGATTACTGTTCATTATCTTCAACCTCCGGTCATTGTGTTCTTAAGCAAATGTAAAATAATTTATTGAACAAAATGTTTTTTGATGAATAAAACCCGATAAACGATTACTTGTTCGATCTTTGAAGAGCAAGCTTCATTTCCTTAATGGAAATCAAAGGTTTTTGAATCAAAATAAATCATCCTTGGTAGATTTAACAAAAAGTAAACCATACACACATGCAGATTTGGGTTCTTGTCCTGATCTAACACACACATAGTCAAATGTGAAGAAACTCTCAAGAACACGATGAACAATTGATGAAGCGGATAAATATCTCAAAAACACGATGAATAAACCTATTAGAAGCTCTTGATAAATCTAGATTTTCTAATCAAACATCCTACAAAAATTTAATATCATGCTTCAGATTGAAGATCAAACGTTCGACACTCAAAAATCGTTTTTAGAGAGAGAAATTTGTGATGTGTGTGTTCTTGAGTTTGAACAGAAGAAGATGAAGATAAAGAACTGATTTTTGGGTTTGAGTTCTTAAGTTTGAAAATTGAACACCCATACGAGTTTATGTTGAAAATTTGTTCAAATCTATCACACACACACATGCAAGTCTGAAATCATTTTTGATGAACTCGTTTTTCGATCTAGTTGTTCTTGAAGACTTTTTGGAGGAAAAACATATAAATTTAAGTGTTTTGTGTTTGTGTATGCATTTTTTGGAGTTTTTGACCAGAGGCTTGCTGAAAAAGATGATTGAAGCTTCACCGGAGCTATCAAATACACGGGAAATCAGCTAAACTTTTGATAGATCATACATATGTTTCTTTGAACAGTACAACAAGTTAAACGAGATAGAAAGTCAACGATTAATTGTATACATATAAAAAAATATGTTACTCTTATAAGTCTTTACCATTATTAAAAAAACAGTAATAATATTTTTTTACGATCGTTATATCACATTTGTTAGCCATACGTAACAAATTATGCTTTACACATACAATCTTTTAAAACAAAAATTATTATATATAGCTAAAAAATATTACATACAAATCATAATATATTTTATACAAATTATTTTCACTACTCAAAATCTGACTATTCATATCTAGCATGGACTTTTAAGTTTTATTAAATCTAACAGATTATTTTCACTACTCAAAATCTGACTATTCATATCTAGCATGGACTTTTGAGTTTTATTAAATCTAACTAAACTACACGTGTGAATATCCATATGTCGCATGTACTTTTAAGTTTTATTATATTAAAAAAAAAAATGGAAGTTCAGAATTCTATCCAAAGTACACGTGTACACAACCACATGGAAAATACTGTCAATATCGTATATTGGTGGTCCTTCTTAGATGATTTTAAATCTTTATTGGTCCTCACTCCTTACTAATCGATCAAAAAAATCGAACATGTGGCTAACGTATGATCAGGGTAACAGTGTTTATAGGACATGATTTGTCGATAACGTATTTTGTCAGTTTATATTAGAGAAACAGAAAAAAACGTGACATTCTCATATTGTATTTAGGCTTTTGCAAGTATTCTATCATGTATTTAAATTTGAGGAATTTTCAGAAAAAAAAAAAAAAAAAAATCGTTCTACCTAAAAATGTCAGGAAAATTATTTTCGTTTTTATTTTTATCCAAAAAACACACAAGTAAAGTTGATTTTTTTTAAGGAAAAACTATAAATTTTAAAAATATGTTTAAAAAAATAAGGTTTAAGTTTTGGTTTTGCATACTTGGTTATTGAGAGCATCTTAATTGTTCATTAGGTTTAAATCCATCAACTCATACTAAAAATAATATTCTTACATTCTATTTTATATTTTCTAATAAAAATTATTGTTAATTGTTGATTATTTATGTATTTTTATAATTTTAATTATTTCAAGGGAAAAGTGGATATATTGTTGTTAAGTATATGATCTTAGGTAATAAAGCTTTGATACACCGTTGTTTAGGAAAGAAATACATATGAACTTGATTCTTTATCCCTTTTTTTTTTTTGATTTGACGATATTATCTTCTTATTTCAATCACATAAACATTAGTTACTTCCTTATTTTTACAATAATGATTTTCGAAAGGGAAACCATGTTATTTGATTCGACAATCAGGAAAGAAATTTTAGGCAATATAAAAGAAATTAAAGAATTTTAAAGATACTTGATTTTGACGAGGGAAATTGATTTTCAACAACATAGGGTCTGGAACTTTTCAAAATTCATCCATATTTTTTAAAACTAAATTTTAGGTTTTGCTAAAAGATTTTATTCATAATCATTAATAAATCACATAATCATTATATCACTTTACATTAATATAATCATATTAAAATGTGGAAGCTAAGTTTTGTATTGAAAACCATAATACAACATTGAATGGATAAACTAGATGAAATGCCCATCCAAGAATATCCAGATTTCCCAAGCATGTCAGCTTCATGCCCTTCGAAGCTGAATGACCTGCAACTAAAAACATAAAGTATCAATTTTAATGTAACATTCAAAAATACATATATTTTTTTTATTTCATTTAAGTCACACAATATTAATATCAAAATAATCAAAAACTATCATAGTAACATGTTATTAGAGTACAAATTCTTAAAATCACTAAGTGCATAAATCATAAGGTGATGTGGTGCGATCAGGTCAAACCCTTCCTCTTCAAACTAGAAGTACCTGAAACATAAACTGAAAACTGTAAACATAAAGTTTAGTAAATTTCCCCAAAATACCACATATTGAACAACATATTGCGAAGCATATATAGGTGTTTGCCTACCCCTTCAGTGTATTTCAATTGGATACTATCAAGCATATATGGGTGCTTACAATCACATTCAGTATATTTCAACCAGATATCGGGTCTATTTCATCGCCTACTACTACCATATAATATCGATCTCTTTTGTTTTTTAATTCTTCCGAAAACGGTACAATCTGCTTCGATCTCTTTTGTTACAATCGGATGTGATCACAAATGAACAATCTTCACAAACAGTTAAAATGATTTGTAGACCAAACTCAGTACTAATCAATGGAAATAAATTTGTTTTTACTATTAGCAACAAAATTACTTATAATTCTCAGTATCGGTTTGATTACATTATAATAATAATAACAATTTGATATTAGTTCTTAATACCATATTTTTAATCCATAAATCTAATATACTGATAATAGTAATACCATTTATTTCCCAAGCGGGGATTAACACCTCCTTCAACAACCATTAATATATATAGAAAATCTTGTTGCTACTAAGAACGATCTAATTGATTTCCACAATCGAACTCCCTCCAATATATATGCCCAGATTGGCGAGTTGATGTCCCCAATTCATAGTTGAAGTAGGGATATCGATACAAGTGTGATTCAGAAGCGGTGAAAAGTGCTATAACATATCTTTACGGCTTCAAATTTAATGAATGTATAAAAAATATTTATGGGATTGCTGCACTACACCCATCATCCACCCATATACATCCCAACCTCTTTATCGGTTTCTAATCTGTAGTATAAAATTAAAAAATTAAAAACCTTAGCTAGGTTAAGGAACTGAAACAGCTGTATGAGCTCGAAAAAACGTTTGGTGACAAAACTAAAGAAACCACCAGTTGTTTACCCGTATGTAGGTTTATTCCTTTTACATTCATTTTTAAGTCATTCATAGATTCATAGATTTAGATAAGGAGTGTCTGGTTGATAACATAACGTTTTTTTTCGGAAAAAAAAAAAAAATCAACGGAAACTGCAGATATGCTGACATGTTTGTCTTTTCATATAAACAACACGTTAATAATTACCATTCTTTCCTTTGTGGTTTGGTAGAATGTACAAGGAATTTGTCTATAAAAGGGAGGCCGAAAGGAGTATTATTAAGCACACGAAACCAAAACATGGCTCCTTTCAACTTTACTTTAGCCACCCCCACCACCTCTTCTTCACCGTTCTTTTCACAAACAACCACCAAACAACGACGGTTGAAGACACATGGGAAGCAAACCCATCGCTTCCAAGTCTCATGCAACGTCTCATCAAACGACCATGAAAAACCACCCCCCACAAACCCACAACCACAAAAACTTATACTACCACAAACATCACTCAACTTGCAGAACGTCGACAGAAGGAATTTGCTCCTGAGTCTCGGCGGAGTCTACAGCGCCGCCACCTTGTCCGGTCTGCCACCGGCCTTTGCAGAACCTATCAAGGCTCCGTTCAATCAGCCTGATCGACCATGCAAAGATGCCGTATCCGGCTTCGACATTAATAAAAAGCTACTTAGACCTATTGACTGTTGCCCTCTGTCCAAAAATGTGGAGGAGTCTGATTTCAAGTTCCCTGATAAATCAAGCAAAACTCGCATCAGATATCCACTACACAATCTTCCACTCGGGTATCTCGATAAATATATGGATGCGATTCAGAAAATGAAGGATCTCCCAGATAGCGACCCACGCAGTTTCAAAAACCAAGCTAAAGTTCATTGCGCTTACTGCAATGGCAGTTACACTCAAAATGATAAAGAACTCCAGATTCACAACTCCTGGCTCTTCTTTCCCTTCCATCGGTGGTACCTTTATTTCTACGAGAGGATACTTGGAGATCTCATTCATGATTCGACATTCGGGTTACCCTACTGGAACTGGGACAACCCCGAAGGAATGACAATCCCACACTTCTTCGTAGAGAAACAATGTAACAACTATAACGTCAAAAACGGAGAAAACCCTCTCTATGATGAGTATCGGGACGCCAGTCACCTCCGGTATGAATTGATCGATCTTGACTACTCAGGGAAAAACCGCGACCTTTGTTACGATCAGAAGGAAATCAACCTCGCTACTATGAATAGGCAGATGATGCGCAACGCCTTTGATGCAACAAGCTTCTTCGGTGGCAAATATGTAGCTGGTGATGAGCCCATTCCCCGAGGAGATAATGTAGTTGGATCCGTAGAGGCTGGTTGTCATACCGCTGTTCACAGATGGGTTGGTAACCCTACAAATGAGAATAAAGAGGACATGGGCAACTTCTACTCTGCGGGGTATGATCCTTTGTTCTACGTCCACCATTCTAATGTGGACCGAATGTGGACTCTTTGGAAGCAAATGGGAGGCAAAGAACCGACAGATACTGACTGGGAAAACGCGTCATACGTGTTTTACGATGAGAAACAAAATCCCGTACGTGTCAACAACAAACAATCGGTGGATTTGAGCAACTTGAAATACGAATACAAAAGCTCAGCCACTCCATGGATGGATAGACCACCAAGATCACGCTGCAACAGACCCGGTTACACGAAGAGGAACAACACAAAGGACTTCCCATATCAGAAGGACCCGCCAGAAAAGTTGACATTAACCAACACTGTGAGGCTTCGAGTAAAGAGGCCTCCTGCTTCTAAAAACAGGAGCGCTGCGCAAAAGAAAAGTGAGAAAGAGATCTTGTACTTCATTGGAATCAGTTTCGATTGTACCGAAGCTGCAAAATTTGACGTGTTTGTGAATGATTGTGACGAAGAACAGATCACCCCGTGTGATAGTGAGAATGTGGGTTCTTTCGCGGCTGTTCCACATGCTAAAGGCATGGCAATGGGTTGCAAGTCTGGGATGAGGTTTTCGTTAACAGAATTGTTGGAAGAAACAAAAGCTGAGGGGGATGAGTCTATTCGGGTGACAATTGTGCCGAGGACACCCGGCAATAAGGTCACCATTGATGCTATCGAGATCCGGTTGATTCCAGTTCTTTAAAAATAATCGAAATGATCGAATGCATTGTTGATGGATTCCGCAACCACGAAATGAATAAGTTGGAGTCTGTGTAGTTCGATAAACGTTGTGATTTTGTAATGCATGGTTTATTTAAATGGAAATTTGTCTTGAACAAAAGTCTCTGAATTTTGATCAGTTAATTTTAAAAGATTTTCATGCAAATCCAGATCATTATGTTTGAAAAAAATTACCTTCGTTACATCTTAATGATGGATTCATAAATTTTTTACTCCATTAACCAACCGAATTTTCTGTTAATTAAGTTCATTGAACGACATTCATGCCAAATTTATGTCTATGTCCATATGTTCTTAACAACTAAACGATTGGTGATAGGTATACCCATAAATGGTGAAAATTGAATGGATGTTATTCTAAAATTTAGTCCAATTTTTTTTTTTGGACTATTTTGCCTCTGATGCTTCCGTGATGATGTCTACCCGTGGTCCTAACTGAAGCTGCATGGACCTTAAAAGTAGGACGCTATGTTGGTGAGAGATTCAAACTTCATTGTTTTGTTCAAGCTTGTTTCCTCGACCAATTCCAAGTGAAGATTCTCTAGGTGTAACCCTTGATTTCAGTTTTCAAGATTGAAGCTGTTTTAAACCGTCATGGTGTTAGTTGGTTGTACTGTTTTACTTTATTATGTACTTTGTATTATTTATGCAGCTTCCTGTTGACTTTTAGTTAAAAATCTATGTGTTCAAAAAGAAAAAAAATGGTTAGCAACGATTTTTATATTGTTGTCATCAAATTAAAACATTCTAATATTATTATTATAGTCTGGTTAACCTGTAATTTGCGATTGGATAAGTCTCTCAGTATACGATTCTCTTGATTTGGTATTGGATTTTGGTTATATAGGTCTAGATATATGTAATGTATGCATGTATACTAGATGTAGCTATGTTTACAGGACCGGCCACACAATTCGGAAAAACATATATTCATTCTAAAAGATTCAAAACCCCAAAAAACGGTTTTCTAACTAGATACCAAACATAGCAATTAATGTTTTGATATAGTTTTAGTATATATAACTATACTATGTGATAATCTCTGGGTATCCTGATAATTTTAATGAAATTATAACTTAATTGAGAATTGATAATAACAGATTTAATAAATATGATAAATATATATGTTTTGTAATATCATAATGACATAATCTTGGTTGAAATTAGGAAATGGTATTGGTTAGAATATTGAATTGACATTATATATATATATATATATATATATATATATATATATATATATATATATATATATATATATGTATATATATATATGTTAGAAAATTATATTTTTTTAGAATGCAATGTAAATATAAATAAAACAAGGCTGAAATCAATATGAATAATAAAATTGTACAGAGGTTTTATTGATTTCTAATAATTCATTATACACAATATTGGATGTTTTATTTGATAATCTACCATCCTTATCTAAACACATATCAACAAACACAAGTCGAAGATTTGTTGTGTAATAGTCGGAATTCAGGTAATTACTTTTCTTTCCCTTAAAATGAATTTTCTTTGCAAAAAGGGTCCATACGTACGCTGAGCTTACATAGGTGTACCTTTATTATACTAGCGGAAGGCCGGTCGTAGGCATGCACCACATACGCAGGGCGTACCAAGCAATATGCAGGGCGTATGTGGCTAAAGTTAAAACCCTAGTTTTAGGTTAAGGCCCCTATTTAATCTTTTAGTCCAAGAATTATTTCCAACTTGTTGATTCATCTCCTAGACTCAATGAGTTCACTCAGAACTAGAAAATGTTGGGGAACCATGACCCGACTCGTCGAGTTGCATGAACAACTCGTCGAGTCCCATATATACGAATTCCATACAGTCGATTTCTGCTGAGTTCAATGCATACATTCCATAGATCTGGTATCCTTAGCCTAGCATAACACGTAATGTTGTTAACTTTACGTGCATGCATGGCGTTATGAAGCTAGAACACAAAAACTAAGCCTTAAAGGAGTTCTAAAGCATGGGTTATGGCCATAGCTCAATAAAGGTGGCAACTTTAAGCTTCTTGAGCTCAAATGTTACCATATCTAAATTCATCACTCTAATATGCACTTAAATCCTGAAAGTGACCTAGAAATTGCCCAAAAATTACAATATGAAAGCCCTAAAGAAGATCAAAGTGATGGAAAGCCAAGGTATAAGCTTTATACCTCAAACAAGCTGGAAATATAACCCAAGATCTGGATCTACTGCCTTCTTCTTGAATCTCCAAGTCTTTCCTTCCTTCTCCAACCTTCAAATCACTAAAATGGCACAAAATAGCTCAAGAACACTCAAAAGTCGATTAGGGTTTCGTGAATAGGGTTTGGAGGTGATGGAGACTAGAGTGGAGGCCATATAAGGTGTTTAAATAGGGTGCAATCCCTAAAATTTAGGGTTTCACTCAAACAGCTCTACTCGTCGAGTCGGGACATCCGACTCGTCGAGTAGACTCTTCCACCCGCGTCCAAGATCTGGCCCTAATCGACAAGTTTGGGCCTCCAACTCGTCAAGTCCTAGTATAAAATGCATAATTCTTATTTAAAATACATACCAGGAACCAAGCGTTACAAATCTCCCCCACTTATTTTAGACTTCTTCCTCGAAGTCAGCTGCTGCATCCGGAAAAAGCTCGGGAGAATGGTCCAATATATCTGCCTCTAGCCCCCAAGTCCATTCTGATCCCTTGCGGTGTTGCCATTGCACATTTACCTGCTCAACCCTCTTGTTCCTTCGATCCTTCGACTTCCTGTCGATGATAGCTACTGGTCGCTCGATGTAGTTCAAGCTATTATCCACCTGAATATCCTTTAGAGGTACCAATACAGAGTAATCTACCAAGCACTTCCTCAGATGGGAGACATGAAAGGTACTGTGAATTTGACTAAGTTCGGCTGGTAGATCCAGTCTATATGACACCTTGCCCATCCAGGCTGCAACCCTAAAAGGACCAATGTACCAATGGCCTAATTTTCCCCGCTTCCTAAATCGGATGATACCTTTCTTAGGTGACACCTTCATGAGGATCATATACTCGACCTGGAACTCCATGTCCGATCGACGCTTGTCAACATAACTTTTCTGCCGACTCTGAGCAGTCTGAAGCCTGCTCCGAACCTGTTAGATCCACTTTATCATCTTAAGTACCACTTTGGTACTCCCCATGACCCTCATTCCAACCTCACCCCTACATATAGGAGTTCTGCACTTCCTCCCGTATAACATCTCGAAGGGAGGACGATCAATACTCGCATTGTAACAGCCCAAAATCTTAAGTATTGTTTAATTGCATTTTGGGGGTGTTTTAAAGGGGAGACTCGGCGAGTTGGAGCCAGACTCGCCGAGTAGGGTCGCAGTTGTGGTCGCGGGTTCGCGGCTGGACTCGACGAGTCCAGGTATGGACTCGGCGAGTCGACGCTGTTCAGCGGAAAACCCTAGCCGTTCAGTTTGGGACGTATATAAGGGATCTTATGCCGTCATTGTTCGCCTTTTGGCCGATTGAGGAGAACCCTAAACGACTGTGGCATCTAGAGCAAGCTTGAAGGCCATTAGTGACTTTGAAGGAATTGTGGTGCAAGAAGAGGAAGGATTTTGGCCAAAGGAAGATCAAGGGGATCGAGTTCTGAGGTTTGGGGACACAGAGAGTACGTTTTCAGGTAATGTTTCGGATCATTCCTGTTATTTTGATGTGTACACGGATTTAGGGTTTATGAAACCCATTTGGTGATTTGATGGATTATTATGTTGTTATACAAAAGTTTATTCCCCAGTAATAAGATGATTAGAGGTCCAGAAGTCCCATGAGTGTGTATTTCGGGACCATACGTAATTCTGGAAGCAGTTGATCGACTGCATGGCGTGGACTCGCCGAGTCGGATGATCAGACTCGGCGAGTAGCTTGAAGATTCACTGGGACTCGCCGAGTTGTTCTTCAGACTCGGCGAGTGGAGTCGGGGTGGCCCCGCGATTCTTCCAGGAGTAACTCGTCGAGTCAAAGAGGATACTCGACGAGTAGAAGGGGATCTTAGAGGACTGAAGGATGACCAGACTCGCCGAGTCGCCAGGGAACTCGCCGAGTCTAGTCGAGTTGATAGTGGACTGTTGACCATAGTTGACCTGTGTGATTTCTTAGGGTCAGTTAACGTGGAAGATAGAAGTGTTAATAAGAGATATATGATGTTACAGGGAGCTTGTAGCTCGGAGGATCAAGTGCAAGGGACTTCAGGAGTTGCTATCTCCCAGCGTCCGCGAGGTGAGTCTTCTCACTATACTTTACCCGGAAGGGTTTGATTGTGTGACCGGGAGGTCGAACATGTTATGCGTTATGTATTCATACTGTAAATGGAAGTTAGTAGTTACGCGTGATATGCATGTTATATGGGCCGGAAGGCAAAATATTATGTGACAAAAGGTCAGGTATGATATGTGATATATGTGCTTTATGTGTTAGAATATGTTTCGGGCCGGAAGGCAGGTTGATATACGATATATGTGCTTTATGTGTTAGAGTAATTGTATTATGTGTTATATATGTGTATGGGCCGGAAGGCAATTATTCTATGGGCCGGAAGGCAATTATCTTATGGGCCGGAAGGCAATTATTCTATGGGCCGGAAGGCAATTATCTTATGGGCCGGAAGGCAATTATTCTATGGGCCGGAAGGCAATTATCTTATGGGCCGGAAGGCAATTATCTTATGGGCCGGAAGGCAAATATCTATTGGGCCGGAAGGCGATTATCTCATGGGCCGGAAGGCATTGTGCAGTGGACCGGAAGGTCAGGGCCTGGAAAGGCGTACGTGCGTAAGGTGTATATTGGGGAACTCACTAAGCTTCGTGCTTACGTTGTTTATGTTATGTTGTTTCAGGTTCTTACAGTAACGCAGGATGGCAACGGTTCGATTGTACACACCGAAGAAAGAGTTGTGTTTTGGAGGATCCTGGTTTTCTATTTAA